AGGGAAACTGAGGTCGAGGGGTGAGAGCTGGCTCCTGGAGACCAAGGGGCAGGCCGTCACACCCAGCCTCCCACGCAGGCACGACCTTTCCCGCCTTTGAGATGGACATCTACAGGAACCTGGGCAGTGTTGACTTTCCACGCGCCGCGGACGGCGACCTGGCGGGCACTGTGCATCCCAGGCTGCAGGTCGCTGTTGGGGGGGTTCCTGAACATCAGTCCCAGGACTGTCAGGGAAGCCAGGCCAGGATAGAGGGGCTCAGCATCCCATGGGGTCCCTAACACTTCAGAATCAAGGCAGGACGGGAGGCGGGCCCAGTCCCCATCCCTGCTGGAGCCCCCCTACCCCTAGGTATTTTATCACAGCACAAGAAAAGTACCTAACAGAACATGCTCATAAATTAGGAGAGCCATGATAGAGACTATTAAGAAATTAAAAAACATGGGAGGCAGAGGCAGGTGGATCTCTGTGAGTTCGAGGCCAGCCTGGTCTACACAGTGAGTTCCAGGACAGCTGGGGCTACAAGGAGACCCTGTCTCAAAAAAGACAAAAAAAAAAAGAAGAAATTAAAAAACAGCCGGGCATGGTGGCACACGCCTTTAGTCTCAGCACTCAGGAAGCAGAGGCAGGCAGATCTCTGTGAGTTCAAGGCCAGCCTGGTCTACATTGTGAGTTCCAGGAAAGCTGGGGCTACAGGGAGACCTGTCTCAAAGAGATAAAATAAGAAAAAAAAGGGGAAAAAAAAAAAAAAAACTACCCTGGGACCTGGCACTCGTATTTCAGTTCCAAAGGAACTGAAACAGCTGTATCAAGGAACAGCCTGACTCACTTGACAAACTGCAGTGCTGCTCAGGGTGGCCGGGGGATGAAGCAAGTATCCACCGAATGATGGACAGGCACAGTGGAAGAGTGTTGAGCCTCGAAAATAGGAAGGTCTGTCATTGTGACAAACAGATGCTTCTAGAGGACACTCAGAGTCCTCCCAGTAAGCTGAGGAGAGGAAGGAGCTCATGGGTCCCTAGCGTTTACTGCCACTCTGTTGACAACTAACAGACTCTGGGAGTCGGGAGGCACAGCATCCTGTCCTATACCTGGTGGTGAGCCCAGCAGGCCAATGGATCATTCCAAACCCAAATCTATGCAGTCCAACTCTGTGGGAAGTAGGGGGCTGGAGGGATGGTTCGGCAGTTAAGAGCACTGGCTGCTCTTGCAGAAGACCTGGGTTCAGTTCCCAGCACCCACATGGCAGCTAACAACCACCTGGAACTCTAGTTCCAGGGGGCTCTGATGCCCTCTTCTGGCCTATGTGGGTATTGCATGGCACGGGTGCACTTACCTGGGGCACGTACTTGCAGGTATTAACACTCACACACAAAAAATAAAAATTTCAAAAAGAAGTGTTTTAAAAAACTCAAAACTCTGTGGGAACTAAACAAAACAAAGACAAGAAACTAGAAAAAAGAGTTTTGTAAAGAAGGGAGGCGGGCTGGCAGGGGTTGGAGGGAAATAAGAGATTTGGGCATGGGTAACTCGAATAC